ATATATATATATATATATATATATATATATACATATATATATATGCAAACGAAGGAGTGCGTATGCGATGAATGGTTGGCTGAAAACTACCGCAAGGTGTGGAAGGTATAAACAGCAGGTGTTGCACCTGGGATGAAACACGAGTATGTAATGGCTATTGAGAATGGCATTTTAGCACTCAGTTATTATATATTATTACAGGCCAAAGTATTTTGTTGGGAATGAGTTTTGGAGCAAATTAAAAATGTGGCTGATTCTATCATAATAGTTATTATTTACATGAAAGGGACTTCTTACCAGTTGATAAAACCAATATAAAACATAGCAAAGTACATACACGCGCGCGCGCGCTCGCACGGATACATATTCTACTTGGTTTATTTTGGTGAAAAAGGGCTTTTATAAGAGATTGTCTAATTGGATTTAATAGTAATTAGTCCTTAGAAAGATAAGGTCTAGCGAAGACTTCTATAAACCTCGCAAAAATGGAAATGACAAATATTCCTCATTCAACTTAATAAGACAGCAAAGGTAAATACAAAAGGACGTGAAATCTGCTGCAGTGATAATGAAAACATATATCTGTACCTCGCCATAAATTATATAACCGGGACAAGTTATTTTGAATACATACGTCTGAGGCAGATATTAACCCTGATGTAGAAAAGCAAAATTACTTTGACTCATCAACTTCTCCATTACTGGTATTCTCGAGTCAGTGTACAATTCCCTTAAATAATGGTCACTATTTCACATAGTATTTTTGCTATGGTCCTTGGTTTTACTGCTATTGTTGATAATCATATTTTCCGACTCTGTATTATCCCCTCACTTCCCCTTTTTATATTTTGTGAATTCCAATTCTTTAGCAATAAGTTGCCTATTATAAATTAACTTTATAAAATAGTTTACCTTAAATAAGATTCTCTTACATTTTCTTTGATAAGAATAAAGAATTTGTATAAAACAAACGAACCCATAACACAAACCACAGATTAAATCAATGACCGAAAATAGAATTAAGCAATAACTGATAAATAATTATACTCATTACAGAAAGAACAAACCCGTTCGATAATATTCAATTATATTTTTTTTATGTTTTCCTTTCCTTTAAAAAACTCCAACAAACACAAACCTCCCGAATATTACAAACACACGAGTCATTTCTTTACCAAAAACCATGAATTAATCCCTTATATAAACGCCACGAAAAGAAAAGAAAAAAGGAGAAAAAAGGAGAAAACGCAAAATAATTTCTCTTTTGAACGTAGACAAAAGCCACAATGGAGAGGGACAGGAAGTACGCGCCGAAGTAAGCTTATTTCTCGTATATTTTAGTGATTTAGGGGCCTATTTTTCTAAGCATTTGGGTATCATTTCAGTTCTAATATATATTCCGTTAGGATGAGAGGGATGGATTTAAGAAAAGAAGAGTTAATCATCGGAAATTCAATGACATGTATTTGTTTATACGTGGGGATCGTTTTACTATTAGCATTCCTTCTATTCCCCGCATTTATCATCTTTTTTACACCTTTTCCCCCGTCCGTATTGTGAGGCAGTGGCTTTTTTTACCGCAATTCCCCAACGAGAACACGGGTATTCGAAGGTAAAATTCCAAGGGCCAATTCTTCGGGGAAAATCGCCATTTTGTTCTCAGTCGCGAGCGTGAATTAATTATATTTTCCCAAGAGTGATATTTTCCTAATTTTCCTAATGATATTTTCCTAGTTTTCTTAATGATATTTTCCCAATTTTCCTAAGAATAATGTTTTCCTAATTTTCCTAAGAATTATATTTTCCTAATTTTCCTAATATTTTCCTAATTTTCCTAAGAATGATATTTTCCTAATGATATTTTCCTAATAATATTTTCCTAATATTATTTTTCCTAATGATATTTTCCTAATATTTTCCTGATATTTCATGATATTTTCCCAAGAATGATGAGTGGGTTTGATTCACTCTCTGGCCTCGGTGGTCTTTTGAGATTTTTTTGGTGTAGAGAAGCATCTGTGTCAATAATAACGCGGTTTTAATGGTGGGAAGCTTGTTATTAGGGATTTTTTTTTTTTACGTTTTTTGCTTCACTTATTTTGCAGTTTTACCCGAGTGCGGGAAGTGTAAGTAAAGTGAAAATGATAGACGAGAGTTATGGAGAATATATGAATATTTAGAAAGTAATTTGGGTATTGGGAGTTACCACTTTTTTTTCTTTCTTTTCTTTTGCACAGAGGCAAAGGAATCTCTTAATAAATTCAGGCTTTAACTGGTTCCTTGTATGACTGCATGCCAGGGTCTTTCCAGTCTGTACCTTTACAGTTTGTTTTCTTCAATAATCAAGGATTGATTTCCCTTATTAAATGGTTTAAATGATTATCACTTAATTTGAATGCAGGGAAATGTTGATAAGACATGCTGCATCAGTTTGACTCTAAACCACTCACAAATTAGGCAGTTTTATGTGCATTTTATAAGGAGATAGCCTTAAAGAGAAATAAAAAGTTTGAAGCCAGGGCTCATGTAAACTTTTATGGAATATCATATAAAATAACCATTGTAGAAAAAAGATATTGCCTGTTAGATTATAAATGTGATATCTTATAGAAATGATAATGATAGGTTTATAAGAATGTTTCTTTATTATCTTGGGAAATAGATGGGTATCATATGAATAAGTATCCATTTAAAAATTTTCATATCTTTAATCCAAAAATATATAGACCAGAAATATATAGCATTTATGCACTTGAATTCCAGAAGGATGAGAACTGACTGCAAGGTGTACGTGGGCAATCTTGGCAACACTGAAGCCAAACACGAGCTTGAATCAGCCTTTTCCAAGTATGGGCCCCTCGTCAATGTTTGGGTTGCAAGGAACCCCCCAGGCTTTGCTTTTGTGGAGTTTGAAGACCCACGGGATGCAGAAGATGCTGTGCGCTCACTGAATGGAACGTGAGTTTATGGGATTTTGTTTGTTGGTTTGTTTAGATGATTGTGGTATTTTATTGATCTCACTAACTGGTTGCATGTACTGGTGTTTCTTGTACATAATTATTTGCCAATGTATTTCACGTAATGTCTTGGAAGTACAAAGAACATCATTCTTTTTCATGCTTTTACTGTTTAGAAATATTGGTTTTCTGTTTAGCAGTAAAGAATGCTAAGTTTTCAGTTGGAGATTTTGAATATTAGAAACGTGGAGGACTGTTTCTTTGTATCCCAGAGATTCAGAGGGAAAGCAGGATGACAATAATATACTTGATTTTACCAAAGCCTTCAGCAGAGTCTAGGCAGAAGACTAACATTCAGTTTACAGTTTTACAGAATAACAAGACCCATTGGATCACTGCTTTTCATGTCAACAGGACTCACCGTGTACTTGACAGTTCTTCATCTGATCTGTCGCTCTCTCCTCTGTTGTCCCCAAGACACCTGACTTGATCCTTCTCCTCTCCTGTTATTATTAACTATTCACCCTCTACTCTTGACTCTTCACCTACTGTAAACTGTTTAACACAACAGTTTTCATCAAAGACCAGTCAAGACCATTGACGACTGCAGACTCATCCTTCAGCACGACCTTGATTCATTGGAACAATGGGAGTAAACCCTGCATGTTCTTCAGCTTTGAAAAGTGTATACTCCAGAGTTTTACACTTACACCCATACAACTCAGACTGTTTGGATAACCTCTTAGCTATGCATCCAACTGTCTACAGATCTCCATTTGCTTATATGATGGTAAACAAAGCTTACTCTGTTATATGCCTGTCCATCAAACACTGACATAGACACACTAGAAGGCACTACTACACCCAGTTACTTGTATACATTTTTCATAACCCTCAGCTGAACTTGTACCAAAATTTGTTTTGAGTTTTAAAAAAGGACATAGGATCAGAATAAATAAAAACAGTACAGACAATGGGCATATAGCAAGAGAATGTACTGTAGCCAGCAGCCAGCAATCACCAAACCCAGCTCCTTCATCCCACTCCATTCTGTCCAGCAACCAATTTTATACTTGATATGTGCTCTGTTTAGTACGATTTACATTAGAGAAATGAAATGAAGAAAATTCATGTTTCTACTGAATACAGAAACCCAGTGTGTATGAGGAAACAAAGGGAATAATGGCTTAAAGCAAGGCACTAGTGCATTACATTAAGAAGAAAGTTGTATTTGACTAACACAAAGAATTTCTGTTATCTAGAATCATTTATTGTTTTCTCTGTAATAGTTTGTCATCTAATACAGATTTAACTCCTTACTGTTTCATACTTATTTTCAGTGCTTAGAAAACAGCTGTTTTATCCATAACAAGTAATGATAATTATAGTAATGATAACAAGGCCCAGAGTCAGGTTTGTGATAGACTTGTGTGAAATTAGAAAGCAACTTGGATATATATTTTCTTTCATTCCCTCTGCCATTCAATCTATTAAGCTAGCTGCCACTCCTCTTTTTTCTCTTTCTATTTTTAGACAGGGATATGTGAGTTTATATATAAAAAATCAGTTATTTTTAATTTGTTTTCTGCAAGGTACAAGACAGTTAAACAACTATAGGTGAGCTATCATGCACACCATGCACTGACTGCATACATACAGTAACTTACTTTTCTGTGAGCTTAACATCTTATAAAGGAAGATGTTTTACAGTATAACCTAACTTTCAAAACAAAACTTTGAGAACTTTCCTCCAAATTTAAGTCCTTACTTGGGCTATATTTGTTCATGAATTATTTGAATATATAAACTGTCTGCCCTGTATTTCAGTAAAATAAAAGTGAAATGACAACCATAACACTTTCCCCCAGGCGTCTGTGTGGTGTCCGTGTTAAGGTGGAGATGTCAACAGGCCGTTCACGCCGGGACAGGTTCCATTCGCCTCCACGGCGTGGGGGTGGCGGTGGCGGGGGTGGTGGCGGAAGAAGAAGGTCTAGGTAAGCTATCTTCAGGCTCTACTGTTGTCTGTTCATTGTCTGTTGTCATGAGAGATATAGTTTGGTTTTGTAGCCAAAGAACAATAGTTTTATCAATTGGGGTGTGGGGTGGGATGGGGGCATATAAGTGATTTTACAGAAATGAATGGTAATGAAATACAAATGTTTATTGTTATATTTTTTATATCAATGTGAAAAGATGCAGAAATGATTGATACTAATAAGGTATTATTATGTCAGAATGATGCTCACTAACCATTTCTTAATTATGAGAAACTTGCTCCTCAATATATATTTTTTTTATTATTTATTTTTTGCTAAATGTTGATTAGCATGGGAAGAAAAAAAAAATCTATCTTTTTCAAGACAGATTTTTGATGTTAAAGGAAGTTTATTTGATCATGTAATTTGCTTTTGTTATTAGTATTTTTTTTTATCATTCCCTCCCCTAATGCATCTCCAGCTCCTTTTAAACTTTATTTATTTGGAAAATTAAATGTGATTCTTACTTACACACTTGCAGTTTTTCTTTTTAATTTTAATTGAGTGAGGGGGGTTTTGCTCTGACTTGAACCAGAGTTACATTTTTTACCTGCTTTGGCACATCTTGAGCAATGACATATAGACATTAGTTCATAGAATTGAAAAGCTTTGTCCCAGCATTGCCACCTTTTCAGTTTAGAAAATCTGTGTTTGCTTACAAATTCACCTAAGTTCTGGCTAGATATTTTTGAGTTGTAAGGATAATGATGTTCATTAGTGTCCTCATCCCCTTGCTTTCAGGCTCGCACTTTGCAAACTATGCAGTAGCCTCAAGTGGTAAAATTTACTCCTTTGAAAACAGAGAGTACAACCATGATTTATTAACTGCATAATTGCCAGGTTTCCCATGTTTATGAAAATCCTCCATTTCTTACCCATTCTGCATGGTTGTCTTTGCTGAAATTTATCATTCTCAGTTATATTCTTCTCAGCAGTTCTTGCTTAATATTATTATTTCAAGTTATGGATTTACTCTCAGCTCATCTCCACTTAGAAAATAATTATATTTCAGTTTCAATCTTTTAGCTACCCTTTTTTCCAGGAATGTATAAACACATGGACATGTCAGAGAATATTGCCTCTGTCATGCATTGAGTGTCTAATGAGTCAAAGGCATTTGCCCCCTAGAATGAGTAGGACTCCAACCACAACTTGTTTACAAAGAAACAAAAAGGGATTTAGGAACTACAGTTTGGGATAACAAGGGAAATTATAGATAGGTAGCTTGGAGTGCAAGATGTAGTTTGTATTTCCAGAAGAAATTTGACCTAAGTGAACAGAAGTAAAAAAAAGTTTTTGAAATTGGACCAGATCTGATAAGAATTTGGATTAGTGATGACTCTTGGAGTGAGTGAGAGTGTGTGTGAGTGTGAGTGAGTGTGTGAGTGTGTGTGTGTGTGTGAGTGAGTGTGTGAGAGAGAGAGAGAGAGAGAGAAAGTGTAAGTGTGTGTGTGTGTGAGTGAGTGAGTGTGAGTGTGTGTGTGTGTGAGTGTGTGTGAGTGTGTGTGTGTGTGTGTGTGTGTGTGTGTGAGTGTGTGTGTGTGTGAGTGTGTGAGTGTGTGAGTGTGTGAGTGTGTGTGTGTGTGTGTGTGTGTGTGTGTGTGTGTGTGTGTGTGTGTGTGTGTGTGTGTGTGTGTGTGTGTGTGTGTGTGTGTGTGTGTGTGTACATACATACATACATACATATACACGTGTGTGTGTGTGTCTTTTTTTGCTTATGTTATATTTCTTTCACAGAAAAAAATGCTTAGAATCGAGATTCAAGTTATTTTTTAAAGACTTGTACTAAAACTGAATAACAGTTGATATTAACTGCTGACTGAGTTTAAGGTTCAAATTATTTTTTTTTTTAATATCTCATATTGTGATTGATTGTCTTTTTTTGTGTGTGTGTGTTTGGTGATTGTGCATAAATTTGCTAATGTTTTTTATATTTATTTTTTCTTTTACTTTTTACTTTTTTATTTTTAGGATGGGGCTGTAAGACATTTTAGATCTAGTTTGTTTCTATATTATTATTTAAAGCATGTTTTCAATGAAATACTTTAAATCTATATAGACCATGATATCAAAGTATTTTAATGCCTTGAAAATAATTTGCCACACTTGTGATGTGTAGAAGAGATTACACTATGGAAATTATGTTAATTGTCATGTGTGACCCATTACAGGACTATCTCGCCCAAATTACCTCTTGTACCACCACCATCTACTCCTCCTACTGTTGCTACCACACCACCACCACCAACTCCACCACAGCCACCACCACCACAAGTACTTCCACCACCACTGCTAGTGACAGCTTCAGCCTGCTTATTCAGTGGAAATCCAGTGTTTGGGTGTGAGGGTACTGGGATAGGCACACCCTGGATGCATCTGTTACTTGCCACCTGAGGCCACACTGGGAACTCAAGCTCACCTAGCAGAGTATGACTGTTCCACAAAGCACCGTCATGCCTCTTCTATAGGGAAGCCTCGTGCAACAGTGTGGAAGAAGGTGGCAAGCTCTGATCAGCCAAGGCTTGTGCAGTGGTGGTGGTGTGCGGCACGTTGCCTGATGGCCATCCTTCAGCGCCGCACCTCATGGCACCCGGGCAGTCTAATACGCTTCACGTGCCCTCTTCTCCCCGCCCGTCTACGCCTGCGCACCATCAGGCCTGCCCCCCCACTCATGATCTGGGTCTCTGACCTTTCAACGCCCGCTCCACTTTCTTACATTCATCATGCCTCCACTCATCGTTGTGGCTCGCTGCAGTGGTGATACACTTCTTGTTCGGACCGGTATCAATTTCTACAGTCTGTCAGTTTGTGATGAGCAGTCAAGCGTAGGTATGAATCCTGTCATTAAGGACAATACCATGAGGAGAAATTCTCTACCTGTTAAAGGTTCATTTGTTTTTATATTTGTCTTTATGTTTGTAACATTTGAATCTCTAACAGGAATATTATGTGTCACCCAGGTGGCTTGGGATAGAACTGGTCAGCTCATGGCATAAATCTTTTACAGCTGCTCAGTTCTCTTTGGAAGGGCATTTTCCATTGTAGAGTAACCTGTAACAGTGATGGTTTCAAAGTAAAAGTTCAGGGAATATACCCTTTTGCTCTCTCTGAGACTGAATGCTTTTCATTAATATTGTTGACTTTTTTTTATAGATCTTCATTTACCGTAACAACATAAAGCTGACATCTGTTTTAGATGGACAGCTAAGACAAGATGTAGCATTCAGGACTTTATTAGTAATTGAGGAGTCCATACAGGCATAAAAATACCAAGTGATTTATCCAGTTATCACAGTTTTTAAGTCTTCTCAGTATTTCATTCTTTTTCATTAAGATTATTTATTTACTTTGTAGACTTTCAAAAATGTAGTGATACAAGTAACTTGAGTATGATGATAATGGAAAGTGCTCTCATAAAAAGTTTTGTGTATTTAAAGAAGTGGTGACTTCAAAGAGCCTTAACAGAAGAGTCACACATGCAATTGCTGTGTGAATAAGTTTTCCATTTTCACAGGTCATTCTCACCTCGCCGCATGGGTGGCCGATTCCGCTCAAGGTCTCCAAGGCGGTCAAGGTCACGCTCCCCCAGGTCTGTTTCTCGATCACCAAGGTCTGTGTCTGGCAGTATCTGTACTAACTGACTTAGATAGGTGTGCATATAGGAATTGGCTGTAGTCTTTTTCTTCTTCTTCCTCTTTTTTAAGTCTTCTCAGTATTTCATTCTTTTTCATTAAGATTATTTATTTACTTTGTAGACTTTCAAAAATGTAGTGATACAAGTAACTTGAGTATGATGATAATGGAAAGTGCTCTCATAAAAAGTTTTGTGTATTTAAAGAAGTGGTGACTTCAAAGAGCCTTAACAGAAGAGTCACACATGCAATTGCTGTGTGAATAAGTTTTCCATTTTCACAGGTCATTCTCACCTCGCCGCATGGGTGGCCGATTCCGCTCAAGGTCTCCAAGGCGGTCAAGGTCACGCTCCCCCAGGTCTGTTTCTCGATCACCAAGGTCTGTGTCTGGCAGTATCTGTACTAACTGACTTAGATAGGTGTGCATATAGGAATTGGCTGTAGTCTTTTTCTTCTTCTTCCTCTTTTTTAAGTCTTCTCAGTATTTCATTCTTTTTCATTAAGATTATTTATTTACTTTGTAGACTTTCAAAAATGTAGTGATACAAGTAACTTGAGTATGATGATAATGGAAAGTGCTCTCATAAAAAGTTTTGTGTATTTAAAGAAGTGGTGACTTCAAAGAGCCTTAACAGAAGAGTCACACATGCAATTGCTGTGTGAATAAGTTTTCCATTTTCACAGGTCATTCTCACCTCGCCGCATGGGTGGCCGATTCCGCTCAAGGTCTCCAAGGCGGTCAAGGTCACGCTCCCCCAGGTCTGTTTCTCGATCACCAAGGTCTGTGTCTGGCAGTATCTGTACTAACTGACTTAGATAGGTGTGCATATAGGAATTGGCTGTAGTCTTTTTCTTCTTCTTCCTCTTTTTTAAGTCTTCTCAGTATTTCATTCTTTTTCATTAAGATTATTTATTTACTTTGTAGACTTTCAAAAATGTAGTGATACAAGTAACTTGAGTATGATGATAATGGAAAGTGCTCTCATAAAAAGTTTTGTGTATTTAAAGAAGTGGTGACTTCAAAGAGCCTTAACAGAAGAGTCACACATGCAATTGCTGTGTGAATAAGTTTTCCATTTTCACAGGTCATTCTCACCTCGCCGCATGGGTGGCCGATTCCGCTCAAGGTCTCCAAGGCGGTCAAGGTCACGCTCCCCCAGGTCTGTTTCTCGATCACCAAGGTCTGTGTCTGGCAGTATCTGTACTAACTGACTTAGATAGGTGTGCATATAGGAATTGGCTGTAGTCTTTTTCTTCTTCTTCCTCTTTTTTAAGTCTTCTCAGTATTTCATTCTTTTTCATTAAGATTATTTATTTACTTTGTAGACTTTCAAAAATGTAGTGATACAAGTAACTTGAGTATGATGATAATGGAAAGTGCTCTCATAAAAAGTTTTGTGTATTTAAAGAAGTGGTGACTTCAAAGAGCCTTAACAGAAGAGTCACACATGCAATTGCTGTGTGAATAAGTTTTCCATTTTCACAGGTCATTCTCACCTCGCCGCATGGGTGGCCGATTCCGCTCAAGGTCTCCAAGGCGGTCAAGGTCACGCTCCCCCAGGTCTGTTTCTCGATCACCAAGGTCTGTGTCTGGCAGTATCTGTACTAACTGACTTAGATAGGTGTGCATATAGGAATTGGCTGTAGTCTTTTTCTTCTTCTTCCTCTTTTTTAAGTCTTCTCAGTATTTCATTCTTTTTCATTAAGATTATTTATTTACTTTGTAGACTTTCAAAAATGTAGTGATACAAGTAACTTGAGTATGATGATAATGGAAAGTGCTCTCATAAAAAGTTTTGTGTATTTAAAGAAGTGGTGACTTCAAAGAGCCTTAACAGAAGAGTCACACATGCAATTGCTGTGTGAATAAGTTTTCCATTTTCACAGGTCATTCTCACCTCGCCGCATGGGTGGCCGATTCCGCTCAAGGTCTCCAAGGCGGTCAAGGTCACGCTCCCCCAGGTCTGTTTCTCGATCACCAAGGTCTGTGTCTGGCAGTATCTGTACTAACTGACTTAGATAGGTGTGCATATAGGAATTGGCTGTAGTCTTTTTCTTCTTCTTCCTCTTTTTTAAGTCTTCTCAGTATTTCATTCTTTTTCATTAAGATTATTTATTTACTTTGTAGACTTTCAAAAATGTAGTGATACAAGTAACTTGAGTATGATGATAATGGAAAGTGCTCTCATAAAAAGTTTTGTGTATTTAAAGAAGTGGTGACTTCAAAGAGCCTTAACAGAAGAGTCACACATGCAATTGCTGTGTGAATAAGTTTTCCATTTTCACAGGTCATTCTCACCTCGCCGCATGGGTGGCCGATTCCGCTCAAGGTCTCCAAGGCGGTCAAGGTCACGCTCCCCCAGGTCTGTTTCTCGATCACCAAGGTCTGTGTCTGGCAGTATCTGTACTAACTGACTTAGATAGGTGTGCATATAGGAATTGGCTGTAGTCTTTTTCTTCTTCTTCCTCTTTTTTAAGTCTTCTCAGTATTTCATTCTTTTTCATTAAGATTATTTATTTACTTTGTAGACTTTCAAAAATGTAGTGATACAAGTAACTTGAGTATGATGATAATGGAAAGTGCTCTCATAAAAAGTTTTGTGTATTTAAAGAAGTGGTGACTTCAAAGAGCCTTAACAGAAGAGTCACACATGCAATTGCTGTGTGAATAAGTTTTCCATTTTCACAGGTCATTCTCACCTCGCCGCATGGGTGGCCGATTCCGCTCAAGGTCTCCAAGGCGGTCAAGGTCACGCTCCCCCAGGTCTGTTTCTCGATCACCAAGGTCTGTGTCTGGCAGTATCTGTACTAACTGACTTAGATAGGTGTGCATATAGGAATTGGCTGTAGTCTTTTTCTTCTTCTTCCTCTTTTTTAAGTCTTCTCAGTATTTCATTCTTTTTCATTAAGATTATTTATTTACTTTGTAGACTTTCAAAAATGTAGTGATACAAGTAACTTGAGTATGATGATAATGGAAAGTGCTCTCATAAAAAGTTTTGACATGTAATTAATTAAGTTGAAATATATTGAAAAGTTGGACAACCACATTTATCCATAAGTGCTTGTTTAGGATTATTTAAGAATGTCTTTTATTATATATAGTTCTCATTCTAATCCTTTTTAACCCTTTGACACTAGGATGGCTTTTACATATATGCCAGGTCTACTGTCATTTTTGTTTACAATTATATTTACACACAGTTCCACAAGAAGTTGTAGTTACCAAGGAGTCAGTTACTAGTCTGCCCCATCAACTGTCTTTTCTTATCCTAGATTTTTTGGAAAGATTTGTTATTATTATTATCATTACTATTATTATTTAGTTATTACTTAATTATATTATTATAATCATAATATCATAAAGATAATCACATTACTGAATATGATATAAATTAACCAAACAAAAAAAAGAACAAGATGCAAAGGGGCACACAGTGACTCCATGGTGCCTTAGTACTTGTGGAACCATCTAGTGTACAAAATTCACTAAACAAAAGTGCAATGGACACTACAAGCTTAATCTTAACTATTGCTTTTTTGTTTTGTTGTTCAGAGCCCTTGCAGTGTTTCAATTCCTTTTCTGTATGCAACCATTTTCATCTTTGTAGGTATGATGATTATCGTCGTCGAAGTGATTCTCCTGATTTCAAGAAACGCAGCCGATCTCGATCATAGGCTAAGGTTGGTAGGGAATCATATAGTTTTCATGTGTTCAATCTGGCTAAACTCTTTCTAAAGTTAAATTTCAATATGCCATGTTGGAAATTATACATGCTGATCATGTTTCTTATATATAGTTTCTTCTTTTTCAGATCCAGAGAACAACTTGAAATTAAAAAATGAATATGTGACACAAGAACAAAATTAAGACTCTTTGTTTTGTTAAGAGAAGGAATAGCTCTTAAGAGTTGTGTTGCAAAGCTGAAAATATTATAATTATTTGAAGATTGACAGTAAACCTGACTTATGTCATGGAAAGTAGAATTATCATAAAAAAAATGATAATGAAAAAAAAGTAAAATATCCCATGAACATAGTTTTTCTGATTTATATAGATGTATACTTTCTTTGCTCTATAAGTGTTGATCACTGCCTAGTTGGTTAGCTATATGTTTCAAAGTATCTGAAATGGCATAATAGGTTTACTGTTGATTTGAAGTATATTAGAACAAGTGTAATCAGAAGGGAAATATGAATTACTTGTGGTATTTTTTCATGTTATTGTCCATTTAATGCATGTGTTGTGAATGGATGTTATACAGTCATGCCATATTATTATTCATAATTTTAGTTATTCAGTTGAAGTGCCTCAGACATTTGTGGTAGTACAAACTATTTGAAAGTTTTTGGTTGACTCCTGAAAGCATTTTTTTTGTTATAATAAAGTTCAACAATTCTTTCTTTGTATTTTTATTTTCTGACCTGTGGATTTTTGCATCCCAGAATTATAAAAAGAAAACTACTTCTGTGGACAAAAACTTTCCTATATTTTCTACTCACTGATGCTAGTTGTATGGTGTGAGAGGACAAAGCCTGCAGAAACTTTGTCAGCCAACTGTGTTATCCCCTTAACAGTTACTGTATTTTATACTTTTCAACATTGCTTTACACACAAGCAGATCAGTCAGGTTACCAATGTGGCAAGACAATTAGTGGCTTGAAAATACATGAATGGAATACATGAATCACTTGTTTGAAAGATTTCCCCTTACAGAATGTATTAAATCTGTAGTTAATTGATGTTCCCTGCTGTATATCGCAGACAACTTCTTTTTCACACAAATATGACTAATAACGTGATTTTCAGTTTTTACACTCAATTCCATGTAAAGATCAGCACAAGACAATTTTCCTGTTATTTTTACCCTGATGAATTTGCTTATGGACAGTCCATAATTTACATAGATAGGGTCACATAAAGGTGAAAACCTTCAGATTTGATTCTAGTTTTACTGGGTTGGTAAAAGTAAGTTTTACTGGGTTGGTATAAGTAATAAAAACTGACAAAAGTTACCAATGGCAGGTAATTTTGTGCAAGTACAGTAGTAATATATTTTCTGGAATTACAAAATTGTAGACCTCAAAAAAAAAATCATCTATTTCATAAATATTTGCCATTTTATTAGATATGTGACCAGTAAATATTGTAAACCATACCATGTTTTTCATATGCAATAAAATAACATGCAGAAGAAGTGTTTGTCAATGGAGAAAATAAGATGGAATACTCTCTATTTCCTCACGAAAAAGTAGTACTGAAGGATAAGTTGTGGTTTCAGCTCAGTGGAGGCAACTGACCTTATTTCCAGTTTCTATTTCATAATTCACTTCCTGACATGACATCCTCTGGTTATATATGAAATGCAAAGAAACAAAATTAAGAATAACTAAAAGCTTGTATTTGTTATACTATTTCACTATTCTTGAATGGGATTATTTTTAGCCACTGTACTCAATTTCCTCAAAATGAATATCAACTATTTATTTTATTTTTACTATCCTTGCTACCCTGCAATCCTTTACTACATCCTATGAGCTATTCTAGCTGGATTTTCAAACGGCTTTGGATCCAATTTAGCCAATGATAAAAACAAATGAAAAGTCTGAGAGCTATTAATTATTCATATGTAAGGACGAAAAAAACAGAATAAGAAACGATATACAGTGGTGATATCCTTTCTGAGGAATGGCATTGTTCAAATTTAGAGCAGATGCAGCCAAGTGTAAGGAAGTAAATACACTATACTTGGAAATCAAAAAGAAAGTACTGATTATATTCCAAGGTAAATTGAAGAGAGCACTGAGGGTACTAATTTTTCAGAGGGAAGTGGGGAATGAAGAAACAGAAAAAGACTGTTCTGAAGGAAATAGTAATCTGGTACCTTGGAAGTCCAGGAATTGACTACAAGCCTGTTTGAAGACTGACACATAAACTGAGGTACAAGATAACCACAATACCCTGTTCAGATGGCGAATATTTATCTCATGTGACGAACACGATGCTTGAAAAATAAACACGGACATACTAGATAAACGAGTTGTGGGATTAAGCGCCCTGCATTACATAAAATGAAGAATATGGAATGCGTAAGATTAATAAGGAGAAATATACTGTATTTTATGAAGCATACGGAGCAACAGATAGAAAAGCAGTGCGGTAGATCCATGTTGATCTTGGTAAGAGTATTGCATATTTATATCCAGGCGTCACTAATATATGTGTGGCTGGGTGCATTATGTATGATGTGCTGTCTTTATGTATTGTGTAAGTTTTATTGTGGGTACGCGTGTATGGATTATACATGTGTTGTGTGTAATTGGTCTCTGTGCGCAAGATTTACATGATCGTGTAAATGGAAGTGAGTGAGTGAGTGTGTGTGTGTGTGCGTGTGTGCGAGAGAGAGAGATAGAGAGAGAGAGAGAGAGAGAGAGAGAGAGAGAGAGAGAGAGAGAGAGAGAGAGAGAGAGAGAGAGAGAGAGAGAGAGAGAGAGAGAGAGAGAGAGAGAGAGAGAGAGAGAGAGAGAGAGAGTGTGTGTGTACACATACATATATATAAATATATATACATGTATATATATATATATATATACACACACATACACACACGCGCGCGCACGCACGCACACACACACACACACACACACACACACACACACACACACACACACACACACACACACACACACACACACACACACACACACACACACACACACATACGCACACACACACACACACACACACACACACACACACACACACACACACACACACACACACACACACACACACATACGCACACACACACACACACACACACACACACACACACACACACACACACACACACACACACACACACACACACACACACACACATATATATATATATATGTATGCATATATATATGTATGTATGGGTGTGTGTTTGCGTGTATGTGTAAATAACGTGTATTTTATAAGTTCACGGTTATATCCTCGTCCTTCTTTTACCACGAAGAGAGAGAGAGAGAGAGAGAGAGAGAGAGAGAGAGAGAGAGAGAGAGAGAGAGAGAGAGAGAGACAGAGACAGAGACAGAGAAAGGTGTGTGTGTGTGTGCATATTTACTGTTGTGTATTTTCCATAAGGAATTGTGTTCGCAGTAATACATACTCAATGCATTTTATGCTCTGCACGACTCGTATGTGCAGAAACCAGGGAAGTACTCAGCTTCAATTCTCTTTTCCACAATAGAAGTACCAATTTAATCTGGGCTGCACGTCGCACCACTTTAAGTTGAGAAACTTTTGGAGATATTCCGAAAGCTCTTCTCAGTATCAAACAAACGTACTAACTGAAATATATTCTATTTGCAACTGATACTGCTTACAAAATGCCGTGATTGCTAGTTTGTTTCACCGCAAAATTACTATCAATATCCAAAGATACGTTTCAATATTTCAGTACTTGCTAGTCGCTGGATCATATTGCTTTTCCTTTCGCGGTGTGTGTGCGCATGTGTGTCAGGGGCGTCAATTGGGGGTGGGGTGGGGGGGGAAGTTGCCCCCCAATATTCTGTTTGCCCCCCTCTAGGTGTGCCTTGCCCCCCCAAGGGCCACACCCCAACAACTTTTGGAGCTAATTGAATTTGATTGCAGACATACAAAGCAAAATAGACTGTTACAGCAACCCCCCCCCCCCCGCCCCTCAATTGACGCCCCTGATTCTCATCGATCTTTATATATCTTAATGCTGTATATTCATACGCAGTAATATTAGATTTACCTCTTAACCAAAAGGTTCAAGAGCAGATGCTCGTTTCTAAACATGCATTGTGATAAGTATCCCCAGTACCACGGTACTCACTCTTTTTCCATAAACTGTACTGTAACTAGTGGTAATAGAACTATAACAGCAACATATATGAACAGATTTTTGTATAATATCCGTGAATATTAGGGAATGTTATATGTAGAAGTAGAAAAAAAACATAACATTTAGTCAGATAGACTTATCATTAATCCAATAGTATCTTATTAATAGTCTATTGAGTGTTATTCATGCCCCCACTCCCCACCCCCCTAAAAAATCCCCAGCTGATTGTGCTCACTTCGCTCATCGACCTCCCCCCCCCCCCGTGTGTGTGTGTGTGTGTGTGTGCGCGCGTGTGCGCGCGTGTGTGTGTGTGTGTGTACGTGCGTGCGTGTGTGTGTGCGTGCGTACGTGCGTGTGTGTGTGTGTGTGTGTGTGTGTGTGTGTGCGTGTAAGCCCGTGTGTGTGTGTGTGTGTGTGTGTGTGTGTGTGTGTGTGTGCGCGTGTGCGCGCGTGTGTGTGTGTGTGTGTGTACGTGCGTGCGTGTGTGTGTGTGTGCGTGCGTGCGTACGTGCGTGTGTGTGTGTGTGTGTGTGTGTGTGTGTGCGTGTGCGTGTAAGCCCGTGTGTGTATATGTATGTATGTATGTGTGTGTGTGTGTGCGTTTGTGTGTATTAAATAAGCAAATAAGAGTGTTTTGTCTCCTCAAAAAAGGCTGATGCCTCTCTTGCTGCTGTATTCAATCTTTCACTTGCGGATGAACGGTAAAGGTGCACTGCTGAATGTAAACTACGTATGTCTTCTGCGTTGACACAGGGGACTGAGTTCATTTGGGGGCTCACAAAGAACGCATGCACACGCAAAATACACATGGGTACGCAATCAACAAACATGCATGGATATTTGCACGTGCAAATACATCCATGTTGTCACACATACACAGATTCGCAAAGATACACTTACACACCGAAATATAAACGTACATGCAATGAGTCAAACATATCAAATATCACTTAGTAAAGATGAACTTTTACTGGAGATGGCATAAGTGACGAAATGCGTCTATACAAACCACATCCAAGATATCTTCTGGTATCAGGAGAAGAGCTTCTTAATTTATAATTAAAAATAATCAATATAAAGAAAAATAAGCTAAAACAAAAAAATAAGACAAAAGTAATGGCATGATACAATTTAGTGCTCATTAAGCATTGCCGGGTACTATGCTTTGCATATGTAAGCTCTATTAAACTTAAATTAATAAACAAAATCATAATATTACTTCCGTAAAGTTTACACCTGTTACACTATTGCGTTAGTCGGTTCATTAAATACTAACCCTTGTCCAAGACCTCCTGCAGTCACCAGCCCAGCCTTACAATGTGTATGTGGAATTAGCACAGCGTGTAATTATGATATCATATACTGTAATTATAAAGCGCAAGTGTAAGCATGTACTTATAATGTCGTAACTAAACGTAATATATGTGAATAGGCCTATCGTTCTTATCATTTACTGTTTTATGCCTTTATTACTTAAACGTGAGATGGTTTATAACTTTCCAAAGATTATAGGTTGTTCTTACGGAATGACATGAAAATAAGC